AAAGTCCAGACTCTTGAGACAATGACAAGAAAATTGACTCTTGATTCTATCGGATTTAAGCTTAAATCAAAAGGAAATCCGCTCCAATTAAGAGGCTTGGTTCTTGATATAAGCTTAGATCTGATTGAACCAAGAGTATTTTTTCTTGTCGGTGTTTTCAAGAGTCTGGCTCTAGATTCAATGTGTGTGTTTTTTTTTTTTTTTTTTTTAGGGTAAATCACGAATTTTCGGGGACTCTATTAAATATATTTTCCTGCGATTTTTCAGATAATTTTGTAAGCAATTTCGCCCTACGTTCCGGAAAATGTCAAGGAAAAATAATCATAACTTCTTTCGAAAATAACTGGATTCTAAGAAGAAATTTGACAACTCTCGAATGTTCATACAGCTTTTTTCCCTTAGCAGTGTGCGAGTACATACTATATTTACGTGTAAATAGATACAAATTTTAAGGAAGCAGCGCAAGACAATGGTAACATGGAAAAGACAAGGGGGAAAACGAGGAGCAAGGCTTAAAAATACAACTTTAAAACTGAAGAAGTTCTTACTCGGGTTTTTTCATCGACATTTATAAATTTTTAATCTAATTTCCACCTAAAAATGACTCAGTTTCGAGTCGAAACGTCTCGGGTTTCCGATGTTGCATTTTCGGCCTTGTTTCCCTTGTCAACGATGTTCCTTCCATGTTTGTGTATAAATGGCCGAAATTGATATTCGTTGAGACAGAACATCGGGCCGATTACTGAAATTGATAGATAAAATTGTAGACGAGGAAGACATAAGGGATATGGAGGAATCCTATTGGTGGAAGCGGGTGGTTGCAATGGAGAAAGGAGTTAGGTAATAGATTAACTAACGGCAACCCACGAGAGACCCTTAGTCCATTATATTCTCCCGAAGTCTATGGGAGTCGACCCTTTCAACCATTAGCATCGCTCCATTTTCCCTATCTCTTTTCTTCGTCTATAGCTTTGTCTATCAATTTCAATAATCAGCCCGCTGAGCGCGCGAATCCGGCGAGTAGAATGAATTAATCGTTCTGGATGGCAATCCCGGCTGGGATGTTAAAGCGCTAATTGTCCGCGTTTCGTTTTTATTTGCGCGAAATTTAAAATGAATGGCCGGGGGCCGATCTCGGGTGGTCTTCCGCGCGCGAAAAATTACCCGGCGATTATTCGCACCCCCAGACCTATTTTTCAACCCTCCCCGCCCACCGACCCTTTGACCCCCACACGCCCCTCCCCCTGGCCGCCAAGTGCAAATTAGGAGTGATGCGTCATTCATGTGTAGCGTAATTTGATCACCGAACAAGGAACTCTTGTCAGATTCAACGTTGCCGATTCGCTGGGACCATTCCACTTGGATAGGAATGCTCGGGAACAGTGACGGGACGGATCAATTTTTGATATTTCCCCCGTTTAAAGCTGTGAGAATCGATTATTAAGGTTTTCGTCGCGAGAACTCTGTTTACACTTCATTTTCCATGTTTAAGTGGCAGACCAATCGATGTATCGCAAAGCACGCCACGCCACTGCCCTGGAACAGTACCGTGTGGCCGCGCGCAAGGAAGATGGCGCCTACAAGCCTGCAGGAATACTTCACGCATTACGCGTTCACCATGCTCCGCGCTGAACGCATATTAGCGCCTACAATACTGTTGGAATACTTCACACATTGCACCGCGGACCTAACGCAATGCACACTATTCCCGACCAGTGAACACTGCGGACCTGCGATCCTAGGATCGAGGGACCGTAGAGATTTTGCACCCGCTGAATAGTACCTTAGTCTATTTAGCCATTGATGTCGGAGTTGATCCGTCCTTTCCACCGGACTCGCCCCGTGTTGTATCTCAGCCTCCCGACGAAAGATATGCCGCAGGAGAATGGGATATAAGTATTTGTACCGAGCTATCCGTGTACAGATCCAATTGGGTCACCGATCCTAATGATTCAATTTCCGTGTAATTTGCCTATTTGAATTTCTATGTAATACCTGGATTCATGCCTGCGGGCTGCTTATTAACTTTCATAGTTGGACATGAAGCATAGACACCGGTCATAAATCTGCAAATCTGATCTATGGCGCATCTATGATCTAACTAATCGCGTTTCTATACTGTGATTCCACCCGATGATTGAGCGATAAATCAGTAGAATTCTGTTGAAAGAGGAAAAAATTCGTTCTAACCAATCAGAAAAGTCGATTCTTCGAGTGAAGAAGAAGCGCGTAGGAACTCTGCCCGCTAAAGAAAACATTTACTGCGTTTGACTCAACTTCGTCTATTAGCTGCTGTGGCGCAGTGGATAGTGACAAATCCGTGCGATAGTGGGTTCGAATCCCGCCGCAGCACGGCCGATCGGCCTGTCAGAAGCTCAGTTTTCATAGATGTCACCGTATTTACTGCCTTATAGGGCCGGGGAATTCGCATCTATCAGTGAATCTATACCCGGATCTATTGAGATTAGTTTTGAATCAATCGGATTATCCGTCTCATAGATACGCAGCCCGCATCTACCATGGTCAATAAATGGATTACATTTTGCAAAAAGGAGTCACTATCTCTGGCTTTCCCATAAAATCACCTCTCTGCGTACGGAAACCAACGGCATATATGTTATTTCTAAAATGAGTCAGGAATAATGGTTTCTCATTGCAAAATGTGGTCCAAATGATGAAAGTAATTAATTAGCCTGCTGCTTGATGTCGCCATCTACTGATCAAATTAAAAGGGGATTGTGGGAATTGTTTTTTTTTTATAAAAAAAAAATAATAAAATTCGAATAATTCGAATTTACTACGCCACAAGTCAAAACAAACGGATGGAAATCCAAAAAATTATGATTTATTAGCCTACAATGTCCATGACAAAGGCCCTACACTTCTGATGACGGGACGCAGGCAACTTTTGACGAAAAAACTTTGCTGTTCAACATATCTGAAGACAGGCAAATGTAATTTCGTGGCCATCAAACCCAATGTTTTGGATTTAATTGTTTGGGTAACCACATTCGACCGATTTCTAAAAATTTGCACGGGCAGCCGACGATGGAGATAACATGCCGTTCAAATAGCGCTCAAAAACGTGACCACAAAAATGAAAACGTATTTCAAAACTCGGAGATTGAGCGATATGTAGCTTCGATAAAAACTCTTAATGCATATCGAAATATGTGGAAGAGACAGAGACAAACCAGGGGTTTATGAAATGATCGCGTGTTTCATTTCGCGGAATTCATTCCGAACGGGACGCAGATACATACTTTCCAAGCGCAATTAAAATATCCTAGGAACTGACAACTGTAGTCTCAATGTTGTTTGCCGTGGAGTCCGATAAATTAATGGCGCACAGTTCAGCTTCAATTTGTTTTAACGGTCCGCGTTGCCACATTTATGAACGGCAATTCGACATTTTTAAAATAAGAACTACATCCGTTCGGAGTTTCAACTGACAAGAATGGCAATCGTCAACAACAGACAAATATTTACAATTTGTGCTATTAATTTTCATAAGTAAAGTTAAATAGAACAAAACAGTTATAATTTATCAGTATCTTTTGAAAGGACTATGCAATAGTAGGTAGAAGACCTAGTATTCTTCTTCCTTCATAATTTTCAATGTAATTTTATAAACAAAAAATGCAACCGTGGTTTTGGAGGAGCATATCTCCATGTCTCAATTTTTATTCTGAATGCAGTCAATTTTAAATCATCGCGATGAAACGGATCCAACTTTACCCAAAGTTTGATTGGGTTGCCAAAACTCTACGCGAGTCTTTATGAATAAATGTTCACTGCTTCCGATAATTTTCTCTTATCTGACCTGCGTGCTGATCATTGAAATTGATAGACAAAGCTATAGACAAACAAGACAGAGAGTATAGAGCGATCCTATCAGTTGAGATGGGTGGTTCCTATGGACTAAGGGAGAAAATGATGGACAGAAAAATGGGTCACTCGTGGGTTGCCGTTAGTTAGTCTATTACCTACCTTCTTTGTCCATTGCAACGACCCGCTTCCACCATTACGATCCCTCCATATCCCTTTTGTCCTCTTTGTCGATCATTTTTATTAATCGGCCCGCCGGTTATTGTTTTTTATGAGGATCTGAAAAGCAACGATACTGAAACGCGAAAAAATGACGATCCGGTCTGTCGCAACCCACGTTCGAAGTAGTTTTCATACTGATATCAGCAGTATACCGCAGTGCTGAGGAAAAATGCCGTATGAACATTCGAGAGTTGCCAAATCTCCTTCGATAAAAAGTTGATTTTAGAGGAAAGCTATGGGGATATTCCCTTGAAATTTTCAGGAACTTTGGGTGAAATTGCGAACAGAGTTATCTGAAAAATTGGGGGGGGGGGAATAATTACAAATTTTCGCGAAAAATCGTGATTTACTAAAGGAAATTTGGCAGCGCCTGGAGGCTCATACGGCGTTTTTCCTCAGCACGGCAGTATACCGATAAGAGAAAATTGGCTGAGTGCCCCGGCAGATGGCTAGACAAATATTCAAGCTGGCACAGTGGACAGCTCGAGTAGGGGCAGTACAAATCAAACAGTTCAACTTTGTTTCAGTCATTAGATCAAACAAAATGTAAGTTTTGTAACGATAGTTNGGGGGGGGGGGGGGGCAGTGCATGCTTTTCTATCACCGCTGATTATGTATTTTGACTGATACCATTTCGGATGAAATTCCCTCCTCTGAGAGTTCATCTTCGACAGCCGAAAATGCTACAAATAAATGCAGTAAGTAAAGTTGAAGTGAAAATGGAATTTAAAAACCGAAGAAACGAGGTTGGTAATAGAGTTTCACCGATAGAACAACGAACCAATTTACTGCAAAATACTGCCAAAAGCCGGAACAGCCATTTACTGTAAATATCATTGAATTAGAAACGCTTACATGAGAGCTATCTTATGTGATGAAGAAACATGGTAAATGATGAAATGTAAGAGCTTCATGAATAATAAAATTTGCACTGTTTTTATCTGTTCCAGGTGCTGGCATCCTGTGGCCCCATTAGCGTTACCTTTTTTACTGTTGTAGTTTTTTTCGGTTCTTTTTATTTGATCAACCTCATGTTGGCTGTTGTTGCGTTGAGTTATGAAGAGGAGGCTGAAATAACCATGGAGGTGAGAACTTCTTGCTCATTTATATTACGGTATTACTATTGGGCCTGTACTGAACGTTTGGAAAGCACTTCCTTACTTAAAGCGAGCCGTGCTCAAACCAGTCGCTTAGCTTTCGGGGTAGCACTCTCTATAGAGAGAAGACTGAGAAGAAATTGAAAGAAAACGGGTGAAAATACACTTCCCGTATAAGTATTACTGACGGGCCACTTGCCAAAATCAGCACTTCTCTTTTACGCGTTCTTGAAAATTAATAAAATCCAACATTGCAAAAACCGATGAAAAAACTAAAAATTGCATACATTAAAAAATTGGTAGATATTACGACCAGACAATGCTTGAGGTGCTTATAAAAACTGACTTCTACGTTGGTTGGAGCAGGCGACACTTTCTTCCAAGGCCTAAAAGTGTAAAATTAAACTTTTCGGAACTATACCCGTGCCGGACATTTTTAAGGGGTTTGCTGCAGACGAAGTTTAGGTTACATGATCGCTTCATCGCTTCAATAATTGCCTTTGAGTAGTTTTCCGTTTAAAAAATAAGTATGACAGGAAGTCTGCGACGTTGCAAGCCGACTTGTGTGATTGCCGACCGACACCGTCTTCTTGCCTTTTTACCTTGTCATCCTTAAAAATGTAAAAAAAACGGACGGAAATAAAACTTTTTGAATTTGAATTTTTCCGTAGCGTAGACACCCTGCTAATGATTGTTAGATTAAGGTTGATGAGATTGGGTGAAGTAACTGGACGGACAAATGTTGTTGACAGGAGCGGCGGAAGGACCTGACGGACCACCGGGACGACTCGACGTTCTCGTTCGACCCGTCCAAGATCCCGGTGAAGCAGCTGGACCGGAACGCGGTGAAGAAGATCGACGCGCGGAAGGGGGTGCTCCTGAGCTCCTACTCCAAGAAGAAGTCGCGGCGGCGGAAGCGGCGCGGGGCCCTCACCAACGAGACCAGCGCCGCCGGGAGCCGCTCCGTCACCCCCTCCCCCAGGCACTCCTTCGCCGAGCGCGAGTCCGAGGAGCCCGACGCCGAGTCACCCCCGCCACCGCCGCCGCCCCCGCAGCCTCCACCCCCGCCCCCCGCGCCGCTGCAGCAGCCCCCCGTTCAACCCACGCCGCCGCAACCCCCCCAGCCCCACCACGACACCCTTCACCCCGGCGTCGCTTTGGGTAAGACCTCAACATTCATTCAAATATTTCCGTAGAGTACGATACTGCCGTGATAGCGAAGAGAGCCGTAAGTGCAAAATTTTTGAAATCGAGTTTACTTCAAAATTCGTCTGAACTCTTTTGGATGAAATTACCGAGACAGCTAAAACAGCAAAATTCATCCTAATTTAATGGAGACGAGACGTATGTAAAAGCCGTAAGTGCACAAAAAATGACACGGTTTTTTTTCAAGACAGCCGTGGGTGCATGAGAGCCAATGAAAACAGTGCTTTCCAGTAAAGTGCCGCCCTCTTCTGCCAATTTCTAACCTGAAAATGTGTTTGTTGTGCGTCCAAAACGCAACCACGAAAGCATGTAGAAGATAGCACTTACGGCTGTCTTGCCTAACAATAACCTAGCATGAAAATGAAAAATACCCTTTTCATGTGATGGAAATAAAATCAGCCGATTTTTGATCATCCATACGATTTCTAGGGGTCTTCCGGACGATTAGTGGCAATTTGACAAAGAACGGAGGCTTCTCTCAATAAAATGTTCTTGTCAGAAGCTTCTGAGCCCGTTTTCTCAAAACTTCATTTTTGCACTTACGGCTCTCTTCGCTATCACGGCAGGATAGAGTTGCAATGTTATGGAGCGCCGATCAAGTCACTTTTTGAGGCTGTTTTGTCCAGTTCTCTTGAGACTAGTATGCGGCGACTGGCGATGCCGTATGCGCGGGGTCCCAGCTCCGGTCTTCGCTCAGCAAATACAGGTATAAAATTGATTTCATAAAAACCGGGAGTGTTGTACGCTTATGACTTCGATGAACACAATTTGCAAAAATTCGCGGAAACAGTGATTGATTTAAATTAGTAAATCCCGAAAACCACTCACAGACTTCGATTCTCCCTTAAGCCGCCATGTTTAAAAATGCCGAACGGTTCCCAGATGGTTGCCATTTTCCGGCGAACGAGGGGCTCGGAACGGCCCGTTCATGGATTGACTTCGTCGACGCTCCAGTACATTACGAACGACTCTATACATACTTTAAGGGCTGAGCAACGCTACCAACTATGCTATGTTACAATTTTGGCGAAAATGTGTTAAATATTAGGCGAGCTAATGTATAGGATATATTATTTGCCGAGCAACGCCGAGCGTTTGGAATCGGGTAATTTCGTTGCCCAACGGTCCGAACAGTTTACTTCGACAACGCAGCTTCTATACGGAGTTCTTGCATGTGTCAGGGATTTGCGTTTAAAGTGCCTTGCGAAACACGATAGTGCCAATTCAGTTTTTTTTACGTTGATTAGCCCTGCTCCGGGTATATCCTTGAAATAATGGATGGCCTAATGGTTATAGGCGAGCGTTGAGACTTTGAGTGGAATGAATTTTTGTCTCTACGTTTTTTCGTGCAGAACAATATCGTATCAGTACCACAAATTGCAAGGTGTATTTCAGTGGCGAGGTGTGAATGGCTGATCATCGATATTTCCTCATTTGAAGCTGTGGTAGAGAATCAATCGATTCTTAATGTTCTCGTTGCGCACACACTGTTCATCGATCCTTTTCCATAGGTTTAAATGACGGATCAATCGATATAGCGTACACTGAGAAAAAGCTATGGTTTAGAAACCTATTAGTGGTAAATATGGAACACCTATAATAGTCGTAAATAAACTAATGATTCTCGGTCTGTGAACCATACTAAGGTCTCTGTACCTAATTAAGGTACAGAGACCATAACTAAGGTATATGTGCTATTATTATATGTAGAGGTACTACTATTAGTGGTGTTCCATATTTACCTCTAATAGGTTTATAAGCCATAGTTTTTTCTCAGTGTATAGCATGCGACGCCACTGGGATATTTCATCGACTTTAACGCATGTGTATGAAAATTGACTATAATATGGGTTTTGGAAACGTTTCCTGTACTATTTCCTTGTTGAACTGAGTTGAGTCCTTACGGCGCTAAGGAAAACCCCAACTCATTAAACAAACATCGCGCTCATTAATTTAAGGGAAAAAAAGAAATAGAAAAAAAAAACTCATGAGAGTGTCTAATAAAACAAGCTGGCCGAAAATCAGTGATTTTACGGTGCTTTTTCGGTACATTCGCAAGAAATCCAGTACCTCCCAAACAGAAAAATTCGGTCCTTTTTCAGTAGCTCCGTTTGACGAGATTCGAAAAATGTCGGAAACTTGGAATTCACAAAAAATTGCGACAAAACTGACAGCCACAAAATTTTATTGGTGCCTTGAAGATTAACTGACTGCAAAATCGCGATCTCGCAAGTGAATACTACTCCAAGAATAAAAAAAAAAAAATTACAGGAAAAAAAGGTAAAAATCTCTCCGAGTTCTCAAGGTTCTTTCAGTACTTCCAAATTTGGAAAGTTTAGATGGGCTACTTGAGTTCCGACGGTAAAAAAAGAAGCACACCAAGTGTCCATCAGCCCAGGAAAGCGATTATAGCAGTAACATCGAAGTAAGAACATTTTGTGCTGAAAAAGCATTGTTAGGTGCTGTTAGTTGAGCATAGTTCCCATTACATCGGCCTAAGTATATGTATGTGTGTATGTGTATGTAACGCTAAAATTTTCTGACATCGTGGCTGCTTGAGATTTTTGTTTGATACGCACAGAATTGGACAGAAACAAAGAGTTGAGCCCACAAGGAAGCAAAAATGGTTTTCTTCAAAATTTTCATGATACTTGGACCACATTTTTCAATTAGGAACTACAATTAAATCGATCGGTTACAAAAGGGCTCGATCGAGCGCCAAAAATGAGAATTTGAAAAAAATGGTAAAAACCATCTTAATTGACCCCTTGTAAATATCAGAGCTCTAAAGCGATGAATTAATTAATCACATTATTAATTATCCTGCAACTTAAAACGGTTTGGTTCAAACAGTTTCTACTGTTTTTTTCGTATTTTTACATACAACATATGTGCCATTAGTTTCTCTAGGTAGAAAAGTGTTTATATGTGCGAGCCAGAAATTGCAGTTCTAAATTGAAAAATGCAGTCCATTTATAGTTTTCCTCCACGTGCACAATTTTAATGCTATGAAAAATTAGCGAGCGGACGAAAGATAAGTTTATTGAATGGAGATTCTCTTATTATTTTAAGTAAGGGAAATATATCTGAAGTGATAAGGTCGAAGATTGGGACCTCAGTACAGTGCGCTCAACCGCAGTGTTGTTTATGTTTAAAGCGTCGTGGAAAACAATGCAAAAGCGCATTACCATTAGACGATTTTCGTATTCAATTTTTTAAGTTCCAAACTGGAGCAGAATAATCTCCGCTCCTTCCGAATGAAATCATCTGGACGATAAAGTTATTCGCAGTTTTTTGCTTCATTTTCTTCCTCTTTGCTATCCCCTTCTTCTCCTCTCTCCTTCCTCAATGGAGTCTTCCATCATACTCCGCTCCTCTTGTATCTCTCCATCTACAAATTACTTTTTAATTCGGAAACCAGGGGCACTCGTCATACAACATCTATCAGTTCGCGCTTCAGAGCATATCACTTCATTTTTAAGCGATGTTTTCAGTTCGCATTTCAAATTACTCATTAAGGAGAACGATAACTCAGTAGTGTGAACTGAAAACAGAAAGGAGTATCTCAGAGGATTCTATTGAAACTTATTTTCGTGCTTAACATTCCAAATTTACTGTATTTTCGTCAACCAATGTCTTGGTTTCATGAAAGTATTACACTAATTGCGTGTCGGTATTTTGAAAATTCTTCAATACATTATAAATAATGGCACGATGGGATTTTGGAAAGATCACTGAAAAAGGAACAAAAATCATTCCGATGGCTGAACGTAATTATCGAAGGGATACAACTTAAAATGAAACTGTTGCTGAAAAGGTAAAAATAAAATTAAAGAATTAATTTTTGAATAGAAATTTTGAACTTCTACATCGACGGATGCCTCATATTATTTTCGATATTTTTTTGATAAAAAAAATGAACCGTTTATCGTCTTCTTCAAAGTGATTTGTTACATTATCATCTACTCTATCGATTTGGAACCCATAACGCCTCATCACTCCTTTTACATTGCTTTACTTTATTTTCCGTAAGTATTGCTAATTTTAGTTTTCCACTTTCTTTCGCGCTGAACTTTCTTAAAACTTCTCGTTTTCTTTTCTTTGGCGAACACCGCTATCTTCAGTAAAACGACAGCACAATAAAAGATGCGGTATCTGTAACGGCGCCTTGATACAACTATTCGTACTCGAGAGTTGTCTCCGTTCCATACGTACAAGTTGAAGGCGCTCCAATGTTTCATACGCTCAGCTCTGAGGCTGAACGGGCCACTTGGTCAGATCTGTTCTGAAGTAGATTTGGTGTGTTTATATTTTATACATTACAACTCACAGGATTTTTAAAAAATCAAATATAAACATTAGAAATTTCAACTGAAAAAATACATATCGATGGTGAAACTGCAAAAGTGCGTATATCGGTTGCGGTGTTTGAAAATCTCCGCTCCTATTTTACTTTTTAAAAGGAAACCGAAGCAACACTGTGGCTTAAAATTTTCAGAGAATATTCTTCCCACAGAGAAGAAAAATATCCGGAGTGCTCAATGAATGATGTTAAGTGGTTTTCCATATGAAAAATAAAGTATGACAGGAAGTCTGCAACGCCGTAAAGCGATACACGCATACCTGCAGTTTCACCACCGATATACTTCCATACTTTAGATTATTCCCTAGGAGGGTCCTTACTTGAACCTTCGGTTTTCTACGGTATATAAGACGGCATTATATACACAGAAAAAAAAATCTCGGTGTATTTACTAAGAAAATGGTAAAATTGCCAAGAATTCAGGGTTCTATTTGATCCCAGTTTTCTCTTGGTAAAATTACCATTCATGGCATTGGTAATTTTACCGAGAAATCTCGGTAGAATTATTGAACTTTCTCGGTAATTTTACCGGACCTTGGTAAAAACGCCAATATCTTGTATCGACTGTGGTAGAATTACCGAGATAAAATGG